GCAGGCGTACACCCTTTCCGGTGGGGAGAAGACTTGGGCGCCGATCCGCATCAATGTGTCCACGGAGGACATGAACAATCCGGCCAAGTGCGGCCGCCGATCAGGAGCTGAGTGTCCCAACTTTCGTGTTGGCACGGCTCCCTGCACCAGAGATGATGTTATGACTGCTGAGAAGAGGCCAGTCATCGTCAAGCACACTATTCCTCTCGCTGTTGAACTACACCCATCACGTCTTCTTGTTCAACGGGAGGACAACAATATTGTGGTACCTCAGTTTAATTCGGTGGTTTGTGTTAGTTTCACTGTTCCTGAGGCACACCGTACAACGGGTGTGGAGGATGCTGACATGATTCTGTACGCTGCCGCTGGTTCTTCAGCCGGCACCAACGTTGCGTGGGCGGGGAGCTGCGCCTCACTAAAAAATGGGCGTCCTGTTGTTGGTGTCATCAACTTTGCGTCTCAGTCAATCGCCGTTATGCGATTCACAATTCGCATAACCGCGCATGGGCTTGCGCATGCACTTGGCTTCAATTATGAGCAGATGGGTGCCCTCTAAATGGCTTGCTTTGTATCTCCAACGTTTGGGTACCAATGTCACAGCAAGCACGGGCCCACAAGGCACCGCATGATCAGACATGGATTCAGGCCGGACACCGTGAAACTGGGCCAGCGCGGACAGCGCGAAGAGACGAGCCTGCACTTAGCTGTCCTGCCCTAAAGAGTCTCCGTTGTCACTTTACTGTGGATGGGGGCAATGTGGAGAAGCTATGGCTTCACGAAAGAGTTGTTCCACTACCTTCTTGCAGTGGAACGGCTTTGTCCTCAACAGCCTTCCCCGATGGACGTGACGTCCATCATGCGGGATCAGGTATAGCGCATTCCCCCCTTTAAGCCCCGTTAGTTTATGGATTTTGGCCGAGCCTGACAACAATACGTGCCATCCCTCTTCAATGATTTAACTAGGGGAGGGCAAGTAGGCCTACTGATCCCGGCTAAGGGAAATTGGTCGCCCGAATCCTTCAGATCGTGTTTCCTCAACGGAAAGGCTCGGCAAAACGTATAACAAAATACAAAATCTACCAAACTTGGAACCAAAAACTATAAAAACAACAGAATGCAAGGCAAAACAAAGGGGTTTTTATTTTGTATCATCGATAGGTGGTGATGAACGTGCTCTGCGCTGGTGGCCAGAAGAGCGGGGCCATTAACGAACTTCGAGAAGGCACGATGACGAGGAAGAAAGGATGTGGCGCTTGCGTTCCAACAGATGTGTGAGAGACTTGGGCTTGGCTCGCGTCTTGTAACCGCGTCGATGCGCTTGACGCTGGAGCTGCTGCTTGCGCTGATCTTCTCCATCACTGCGTCGCTGGGTGTAACAATCGTACTGGGTGCCGTAGAGGGCTCGAAGTTATCAGTTACGGGGAGATCTTTCGTGCTGATGCAGGTGATCTTGGGATTCTCTGTGCGGCGGTATACTTCTGTGGCTCGGTTTCGTTCTCATGCTTAACGATTTCTCAGTGGGCACTGCAGAAGCACGCGGGTGAGGAGACAGCGCGCCGCATCTGAAAGCGGATTGGGATGTGCGTCGCGCTGAGTGCCGGTGCCATCATAATGGCGGGGATTGGGAAGTGGTTGTGAGCGATGGAGTGGGGTCCGCTGAGGCGGGTCAGCTCTCTCTGAGTAAGAGTTGTGCTTGGTGTGCCCGCGTGTTGAACGACTCTGTGAGTTGTGCTTCAAAGTAAGTGTGATTTCCTGATTTGGTTTTCTCTTTGTTTGTTTCGTGCGTGGGGGCATGGCCGTCCCGCATTTAGGCTGAGCGGTGTGCCGCAGCGATTGGGTGCGCCTCTCTGCGGTGTGTGAAGCCCGTGTGGCCATGTGGGGTAGTGTGTGTTATGCTGTTGGTGTAGCCAGCGCGGAACGCACTGCGGACGGTGGCGTCTTTTCACTCGACGCTTTTTTTTTTCGTTTTGCAAGGTTTGATAAACAAGAGGGCTTTAATCGACAGGAAGCAACGCTGAGCTGAGGGTTCCAGTGGTGTGCCGCTGAGTTCCGTCCAGCAAAGGGTCCCTTTCCATGCATACAAATGCTCTTCGTCTTCTATCCTTCTATTTTTTTTTTGCTTCGTTTTGGCAAACGTGCAGATAAATCTCTCAATTTCCCTGCTTTATTTGCTCAAATATGTCAGCAGACCAACAGCCTGGTGAGCCGTGCGCCCCACCGGATGGCACGACGCATGTGCTTGTAGAGCCATTTGACGACGCGCCGCACACCAACTCCGGGGTGAGTGGCGGAGGTGACATGACTCCTTCTGACGAGAAAGACCCAGGTGAGGCGCCGCGCGTGCTCGCAGACCCATCGGGCATCAAGATCGGAAAGTACGAGATCCCGTCCGGCGTGGTGGCGATGGTGAGCACAGTTCTCATGGCCGGTGCGGCGGTGCTGCTGACGTTTGTGGCTCCTGTGGTGAACGCTAACCCGTACCCGTGGGACTACATATCCGCGTTGATCGGCTGGATTTACTTCTTGGCGTGGGGGGTGTCCTTCTTGCCACAGCTGTACTACAACGTGCGTCGGTGGAGTGTGGAAGGCCAAAGCTTCGACTTTGTTTCCTTGAACACCGTCGGGTTCATGTGCTACTCCACGTACAATCTCTGCTTTTACGCGAACGAAGCCGTGCAGGAGATGTACGAAAATCGCTACAATGGCGCATCAAACACTGTGGCGGTGAATGACGTGGTGTTTGCGGTGTACGCGTTAACATGCTGCCTTACGAATGGCCTGCAGATCATCTTCTTTGATCGTGGTGGGCAGACGGTCAGTCTCGTCGCACGGGTGCTTATCGGCGTCATTTTCTTTGTTATTCTTTTGTGGACGTTCTTGATCGTCGGTGGTGTTAAGACCACCGCCTTCTTCAACTACCTCGACCTCCTGTATGGACTGAGCATGATCAAACTGGGCATCAGTATTGTGAAGTACTGGCCGCAGATATACCTGAACTACAAGAGAAAGACCACAATTGGGTGGAATATCTGGAACGTTGTGCTCGACTTCACAGGCGGATTCTTAAGCATTGCGCAGCAGCTGATGGACAGTTGGGTGACTGGAAATTGGACGGGCATGACAGGCAACCCTGTGAAGTTCGCCCTTGGCTCAGTGAGCATGATATACGATGTTGTGTTCTTTGTGCAGCACTTTGTGCTCTACCGCGAGAACAACAAGGCGTTCGCGATGCCTCCGGTTCTCCGAGCAGAGGAGGAGGAGGAGGCCGTGGAGCGGGAGAGCACTTGTGCCGTTCAACAGCCGGAGGTGTGAGTGCGCTGTATGGCTCCGCGCATCACACTGCCGGGCCACGCGGTAATTCGAGGTAATTAAATGACGAGGCAAAACGAGTGGGAAATGAAACTTATTAAAGGCTAAGACGATGTTATGCAGTATCAAACGGTGGCGAAAATTCGGGTTTGGATAGTATTTTTTTGTTTTAGCGCGTTTGAACGAGGTAACTACTGAGCATTGAGTTATCTCATGACCACCCCACCGTTGATTTTTGTTGTTTTTATTTTTATTTTTATTGTTGTGTCTTTCCTTGTTCACCAGGCTGACTTTTACCCCCGATGTTGTGCCGCAGAATTACCCCTTGGGGAGGGCGGCGGTAACTGCGCGTGCTACGCTTGTAACTGGACAAAAATATGGGCACGTTGGTGCCACGAGCACTGCCACCTAAACAGCGCAAACATGCAGTGGCAGATGATATAACAAAAGAAAACGATAACATTGTTTATTTTTTTCTTGGCCGATCGACTTCATGTATTCTAGAGGTGCTGCGTTGTGTTTGTGGAATCTTTTTCGGTGTTGTGTTGCCTCTGCACCGTGCCACTGCTGTAAACATGACTTGCTTCCTTTTTGCCCTCGGTCTTCTGATGGTGCAGCAAGGCGTCGCGTGTCGCACCCTGGTGCAGCACAGGAAGTGCATGTCACCATCATCGAGACACCGGCTGGTGGGTGATGGGCAGGTGTGTTGGGGTGCTGGTTGCGTGGCGAATGCGGACGGGCGGCTTGGGCGTTGTGCGCAAGGTGGCCGAGGTACCGAGTGCGTGATTTCACCAGCCAGAGGACGCGAGGCGGTGACAATGATTCCCTTAAGGGGCGATCTGTAAGTGACGATGGATGCCCATCGTGGCTCTCCCAACCAACGGGGCTTCGCGGCGCCCCCTGCTCCGCTGTAGGCATGGCGTGGCGTCCCTTGCTGTCCCCGCTGCTCACGGAAGCTGGCGTCCGCCTGCGCCGCTAGCGGCTCTCCACGCTCTCCGACATCTGGGTGGCATCGCCCCGCTGCGAATGAACAAAGTTCTCGCGCTCGCGGGGTTTGCGACGGCCCAGCGAGAGATGATCGCCTGGGAGATGCGGCGCGTGCTTCGCTTCCCCGTAGGGCACACTGAAACGTGTGCCATGTAACAGTTACTGGTGCGCTGACACTGCTGTATCGGATATCGTGCTCTGGCAAGCGACCTTTCTCTGCACTTTGTCACTGTGACACACCAGTGATAAGCATTCTCGAAGCTCCGCCAAACCGTTGCTTCCCCAGCTTTCCCCTTTCAAGGTAGAGTAGAACAGAAGAGCCTTGAAATGGCTCGAAGTGTCCACGGCAGTCCATGGCATGACGGTCGTGGAGACTTCCGAAATTGCTACACTTGATTCGCATCAGAGGGCACAGCCACGGTGGGTGCGGTGGAGCCGACGGCCCGTACTCGGTTGGGCTGCACGTGGCGGCGATCTTCGTGGTGCTCGCCGCGTCGTTTATCGGGACGCTAATCCCGATTGCCGGGAAGTACGTGCCGTTCCTGCGGCTGAATCCGTTTGCTTTCGTCATTGGCAAGTGTGCAGCGACGGGGGTGGTGCTTTCGGTGGCGATGATCCACATGATCAACCACGCCGCTCACGCGTTCGAGGAGGAGTGCGTGCCGGAGTCGTTCAAGGAGTCGTACGACGCGTACGCGTTGATGTTCGCGATGGTTGCGGCAATACTGATGCACGCACTGGACGTGTCCTTGGACCTGACGTTTGCAAGCACCAAAAAGTCCACGCCCGCTTCGGAGCCTGCCAAGATTGAGGAAGGTATTCTTTCTGGGGAGCGCGTTGGCTCTTCGAGTGGCGAGGAGGATTGCTGCGGCCACCACAGCCACGCGGGTGCTATCGTCTCTCAGGGGAGGGCCCAGCGGGTTGCTTCTGCTCTGTTCATGGAGTTCGGCGTGACGCTACACAGCGTGTTCATCGGGCTGACGGTGGGTATCTCAAGTGACGCAGACACGAAGGCACTTCTTGTGGCGCTTGCGTTTCACCAGATGTTCGAGGGCCTTGCGCTTGGCTCGCGTCTTGTAGACGCATCGATGCGCCTGACACTGGAGTTGCTGCTTGCGCTGATCTTTTCCATCTCTGCGCCGCTGGGTGCCGCAATTGGACTGGGCGCCGTGGAAGGCTCGAAGGTATCAGTGACGGGGACATCTTTCGTGCTGTTACAGGCGATCTTCGATTCTCTGTGCGGCGGCATCCTGCTGTACCTCGGCTTCGTCCTCATGCTCAGCGATTTCTCGGCGGACCTTCGGAAGCACGCGGGTGAAGAGGCAGCGCACCGCATCTGGAAGCGGATTGGGATGTTCGCCGCGCTCTGGGCCGGTGCCGGCATAATGGCGGGGATCGGGAAGTGGTTGTGAGCGATGCGTCAGGGCCCGCTGCGCCGAGTTGGTGCTCTCTGAGTAAGGGTTGTGCTTGGTGTGCGCGTGTGTTGAACGACTGTGTGGGTTGTGCTGNAAAAAAAAAAAGCGTAATTTTCTGTTTCTTTTCTTTTTTTACGTTTGTTTGTGCCTGGGGGCATGGCCGCACCGCATTTAAGTTGTGCGGTGTTCCTACGTGGCGGGGGAGTGTGTGCGCAGCGGCGCTGGCGCCGGGCGACCGACAGAGCTGGTCGCTGGCCGCAGCCTGCGCGCTGCTCTTCCCCGCCGCGGAGGGACGGCGGTGTGCGGACGGCCCCCAGGTGCCAGAACTAATTACCAACATGGGCAGTGACAGCGCCGCAGTGATTGGGCGCGCCTCTCTGCAGTGTGCGAAGACGTGTAGCCATGTGAGGTTGTGTGTGTTGTGCTGTTAGTATGGCCAGCGTGGAGCGCACTGCAGACGGCGACGTCTTTTCCCGCGATTTTTATTTTGTTTAATGAGCAATGGGGTTTTAAACAGGAGTAAGCAATACTGAATCAAGGGCTTCGGTGGCGTGTCGTGGCAGGGCAGGGCGTGCCGCTGACCTACAGTCAGCAAAGGGTCCCTTTTCCTTGCATACACTTTTACTTCATCCTTTCCTCTTCTCTCCTTTCTTTCAAAAAAAAAAAACACACAAAAAATTTTGGTTTCTCTGCTGCGTTGTGGCAGACGCACAGGCAAACTTCTCAAATTCGTCGTCTTATTCGTTCAAATATGTTGGCAGAGCAGCAGCCGTGTGAGCCGAGCACTCCATCAGAGGGCGGGCTGCATGTGGTCGTGGAGCCATTTGGCGATCCAATGTGCGTGGACACCGCATCGGGAGGCGGCGGTGGTGGCAAGAAATCTCCTTATGCCGAGGATGGCACAGGTGAGGCGCCGCGCGTGCTCGCAGACCCATCGGGCATCAAGATTGGAAAGTACGAAATCCCGTCCAGCGTGGTGGCGATGGTGAGCGCAGTTCTCATGGCCGGTACGGCGGTATTGCTGACGTTTGTGGCTCCTGTGGTGAACGCTAACCCGTACCCGTGGGACTACATATCCGCGTTGATCGGCTGGATTTACTTCTTGGCGTGGGGGGTGTCCTTCTTGCCACAGCTCTACTACAACATGCGTCGGTGGAGTGTGGAAGGCCAAAGCTTCGACTTTGTTTCCTTGAACATCGTCGGGTTCATGTGCTACTCCACGTACAATCTCTGCTTTTACGCGAACGAAGCCGTGCAGGAGATGTACGAAAATCGCTACAATGGCGCATCAAACACTGTGGCGGTGAATGACGTGGTGTTTGCGGTGTACGCGTTAACATGCTGCCTTACGAATGGCGTGCAGATCATCTTCTTTGATCGTGGTGGGCAGACGGTCAGCATCACCACGTGGGTGCTCATCGGCGTCATTTTCTTCGTTATCCTTTTGTGGACGTTCTTGATCGTCGGCGGTGTTGAGACCACCGCCTTCTTCAACTACCTCGACCTCCTGTATGGACTGAGCATGATCAAACTGGGCATCAGTATTGTGAAGTACTGGCCGCAGATGTACCTGAACTACAAGAGAAAGACTACAATTGGGTGGAACATCTGGAACGTTGTGCTCGACTTCACAGGCGGATTCTTCAGCATTGCGCAGCAGCTGATGGACAGTTGGGTGACTGGAAATTGGACGGGCATGACAGGCAACCCTGTGAAGTTCGCCCTTGGCTCAGTGAGCATGATATACGACATTGTGTTCTTTGTGCAGCACTTTGTGCTCTACCGCGAGAACAACAAGGCGTTCGCCAGGCCTCCGGTTCTCCGAGCAGAGGATGAGGAGGCCGTGGAGCGGGAGAGCACTTGTGCCGTTCAACAGCCGGAAGTGTGAGTGCGCCGTATGGCTCTGTGCATAGCACCGAGGGACATACGGTGAAGAAGGAAGATAAGTGACGATGCAGAATGAACGGGAAGAGAGGCCTTGTGCAAGTAAAGATGGTGTCATCCAGTATCAAACGGTGAAGGAGGGTCAGATTTTGGTAGTACTCTTGGCTACCCCTATCTGAAAAAGGATAACTGCTGTGTAGCAGTCCATATCACCCCCACCCCGTCAATGATTGGCTTGTGTTTTTTTTTTCTCCAAGAATTACTCTCACCCATATCGCTCCGCAGGAGAACCCCTTAGAGAGGGAAGGCGCGGTAACCGCGCGTCGTGGTTCGCCTATTAACGGCGAACTATAAGGGTAGAGGTGCGACGAGTGCTGCCACCGGAAAGGGCAAAAAATGCAGTGGTGAGTGTTGTACAACAAATTTCAAAACAGCCTGCTCGCGTATGCTTTATTGTTTTCATGTATTCCAGAGGCGTTATGTTGTGTTTGTAGGATCGTTTTTTTTTTTTGTTTTTCTGTGTCGTGTTGCTTCTGCGTCCTGGCGATACTGTAAGCGGGACTTGCTTCCTTTCTTTCGGTCCTCTTAGAGCACAGCAAGGTATCGCGTGCCGCACCCTGGTGCAGCACAGGAAGTGCATGCCACCATCATCGAACCAGCGACTACCGGGTGATAAGCCGGTGTGCTGGGGTACTGGTTGCGTAACGAATGTGAGCGGACGGCTCAAACTGCACGACAGCGACGCACTGCAATGGCGCCCGTCAACTGTCGACGAGGGCCTCCTATCGAGCACGGTGTGCCTGTCGCCGCCAGTGGTGCGGCGCAGCGGTCGGGGGCGCGGAGAGTACGCCCCCGCGGCGCAGTGCTGGTGCGTCGCTGCCGTAAACCACCCAACGCCGGCGGCGAGGCAGCGG